CCTCGGTCTTACCAATATCTCCAACCTTCGGTAATTAACAAAAGTTCATCTTTTCAAACCCTACTTGGTTCACCTAAGGACAACGTCATAAGACTCGTAAACCTCATAGAGGCAACTGGTCGAATCTCCCTCTCGATATCCTTTTATCTCTGTTGGAACGTCTGAGCTTTTTTGATTTCCACCGCGCGAAGATGGTTTGTTCGAACTGGTTCTCTGTTTCCAAACAAACAGTCCCGAAGAAAAACGGATCGCCATGTCTTACGCTTTCTTCAAACGGAGACAAGGGTTGTATGTTTTTTTTTTTTTAAATATATTTTATTATTGGAAACCGGTTACAAGCCGTGATGATAGTCACACAGTTTTTACAAATAAGTAYAAAYCGGGYYAACATATTATGACCACAAACAATCGTATCTTCCGCTACGATTGACTTTAGTGCTAAGGATGATAAAACTTTAGCCACGTCCGCCTCTGTTTCCACGTCCTCGGCTTCCATGTCCTCGACTCGAGGGAAAAAAGATGGATTATTTTGTGAAAGGATTTTTGGGCCTAGGGCTGACAAAGCATCTCCTTCACCTTTGCTGATGGTTTAACTGGTCTTTCTCGAAGGATCCGTTTCCCTAAAGGTGTCATAAGGTCCATCGAATCCATTTCTAAATCCGATGACTCTTCTTCTTCAAGAGAGAGATCAATGAGGCAAACATATTATAACCAAAAACGGGCTCAACCGTTCTACTGCTATCGCCATGGATAGTAGATTCTGCTTGAGCACTTGTAGGAGGGGTGGCTGATAAATTACAGGCAGACTCCAAAGTAGGAGACTCAACATTTTCGTTGATGATGACCATTGTAGGAGCAGAGAGAGACATATTCTCAAGGACCGAGATAGTAGCTAGTGAAATGAGAGAATCCACAATGACCGTAGTGACTGGAACAACACAACTGGATTCAACATTTGCATCAATAAGGATAGGAGGAGATACCTCGATGCATGAAGCAATAACAGAGGTAGTGTTGGCCGTTGTGGTCGTGACCTCAATGCTAGCATCCACCTCAGCCACAATATCTCCATTAGCAACATTTGCATCACTATAGGGGTTGTATGTTGTACAACTCGGATGAAGATAAGGTTTACATGCCTGAGAAAAAATTTCCATCAGGGACTCGATTCCTAGCAAACTCTGGTAAATGGTTCCTCGTGCTAGATTCTACATCTACTTTATATATTCTAGATGTGATTAGCGGGACTAGGATTGGTCTTCCACCTCTAGAGTCGGTCCTATCAGTTACCTGTACCCTCATGAGTGTTGCAGATGTTATATGGGAATTTGGTGATGATAAAGGCTCTTTTTTCTTTTTGTCCTCCAATGAACTAAGGGGACGTTTGTGGGTAGATGACAAGACGAAAGAGTTTTTTGTAGTGTGGATGTTTAACTCACCTCAATTGCAGATGCTTATTCTTTTGCAAGAAACGGAATGATCATCACACTGTCATTTCGCTGTGTGACGAAGTCCCCTGGTTGTTACAAGGCATGATTGATCTGGTTCTTTTTGGTTACCGTCTTTACATCTTAACTAAACATCGTGTCGTTCGAGTCATAGATTTGTCTGGACAGAAGCAAGGAGAATTCAAAGTTGTCACCGAGAGTATAACATACCCAATGGTTTCTCCTCTTGGAGCGCATTCAAATAATTTAAACATCGCGGTTACAACAAGAGGAGAGGTTTTGTTGGTGGAGAGCACAACCTTTGAAAACAATAGGAGTTTCCGCATCTACAAGAACGATCCTAACGCAGACATAGGTATTTACACACCTGACCTTCTTGAGGTACATTCTCTTGGTGATGAGGCTTTGCTACTTGACATGGGTATCACTGTGCCGGCTAACCATTCCTTGGTATCAAACCAAACTCTATCTATTTCACCAGTCATGACCGCATCTGTCCCAAGATCACTCTTACACTCGACATCTGTGTGTTCAATCTTGCAACCAAGACCCTCGACCACTTCCCTGCTCTGGCCAACAAGAATCTCAAGGATGCTCAATGGTTTCTCCCTATAACTTGAAGGACTTGATTCATGCATTTTGGTTTTCTTACTTTTCTTTTTGCTCTGGATTTGTAGGATTTTCTTACTTGGAACTTTTGTTTTAATGAAACATATCACATATCAACTCGTCAACCGTTATTTAAACCAGAGGAATACCCGCATATACACGCATATCAACTCTTGAACATAGTTTTTATGTCTTAAATTAATAAAGTCATGAACTCCTAAATTTTTTTTTATTACACATATTACTCGTTTAGTTTTTGTTTTTGTACATTTTACTATTATAAAATGGGTAATCCGACCCAACATGACCCAAATCCACATGGATCCGAGACTTTAGTGGGCGGGTTTGACCTGACCTATTTATTATATGGGTTGAATTTACATATCCAAACCCAATAATATGAAATCCTATAGCTAAATGGGTTATATGGGTACCCACATATAAATTAAATATCATAATATAAACAAATTGGAAAAAATAACAACACCATTTCGTATTATTATATATAAATCCAACAAAAGTTTTCAAGTTTCAAGTAACAAACTAAATTAAAATGTTTTCGCATGTTAAGATAAATAAAAAGCATAAAGCCACAAAACCAATAAACTTTTGATTAATTTTAACAAACACTTGAATCTTCATTGGATTCATCTGCTTCCTTAGATGTATCTGCTTCCTCATCATCACCACTTTTCTTGTCTAC